ATGCTTTCTTTGCTATCTTAGATGTTGTTCTTTATATTTATTTGGAGCGCAATGATTAAAATGTGGGCTATTTCTTCTTCATGGGCTTAATATTAAATTAATTCAACCTATTTAATCTCGTACAAGATTTACATGATAATTTGAAGAGTTTTGTTTATTTATTTATGTATTTTTTTACTTATGTTATTATTTTTTCGCTATAACCAAACACCATTCATGTGGAGTTTTATTTGTGCCTTGATTTAATATTGAATCGCATTCACTTTAAATATATTTTCATGAAATATACTTTGGTTACCTAAATACTTACTCCATGGAACCGAGTCTTTCTTGATAAGCCAGCAGTCTCTCAGTCATTCAAGATATTCCCACCATGTTATGAAACTCGAAGTTTTATTTCCGTGTTCACAAGAACCTGCCACTAGTCCATATCCTCAACCATATGAATTCAGCCCATGCCATCCCATCCTGTTTCACTAAGATCAATTTTAATATTATCATCCCACCTGCGTCTAGGTCTTCCTAGTGACTTTTTCCTTCTGGTTTGCCCACCAAAATCCTTTATGGATTTCTCTTCTCTCCCATGCGGGCTACATGCCCTGCTCATCTCATCATTCTAATTATATTTGGCGAGCAGTGCAAATTACGAAGCTCCTCATTAAGCAACTTTTCCAGCCTCCTAGGAATTTATCCTTTCTAGGTCCCAATATTCTCTTCGGCACCCTGCTCTGAAACACTCTCAGTCTACGTTCCTCTCTTTTGTCAGAGACCAAATTTCAGGTTGACAAAGAACCACAGACAAAATTATAGTTTTGTATATTTTAATCATTAAGTTTCTAGATAGCAAACGAGGCGACAAAAGATTCTGAACTGAATGGTAGTAAGCAAAACCCCGAATTTAATCTGCTCTTAATTTCCTCATGAATAAAATATTGATTTGTTATTCTCGCTACCAAGTGTTTTTACTTTGCTACATTTTCAAATGAACCGTTTGCTCTCTTTCTGTTACGATTTTGCCCTGGATTCTGGTGACGAGTTGTCACCATATACTTACTTCGTGACCAATTTCCTTACTAGCATCAATTAGGGTTGTGTTTTTCTTCATGGTATATATGTTATCTATATAAGAATTGCTATTTATTTTTACACTTGGCCATGTTAGTATCATAATCTTTCTTTCTTATTGTAAACGTTAAATTTGTAAACAACACAGCGAAAACAAATTAACGCCTATTTTACCTTCATGTAGAATATACAGAGTGGATGGGAAGTAAGAATGGATTGAGAAATGGTTATAACCTCTATATTTCCAATGCAAAGATAATAATTTAATGCCTACTTCCTTCCCACCCACCCTTTATTTATTAGATATCATCTTCCTTCAGTTGATCAGTTGATATGATTAGATTAGATTAGATTAGGTTATTCAACAACAATATTTCAGCTGTAGAGATTATATGTGTACTATGTTAATGAGATGGAATGATGATCATACGTAATGAATATATAATTATTTTAAAGATGTAGACTATTGAAAGGGGCCATTTAATATTCACTTAGATAAAAAGAGTAAGAACTAATGAAGGCCTCCATTGGTTTGGCACAAATTCGGTTTAGACTAGAATCAAACACTTGACTATTGTATTTACAACACCAGGACTTCCGACTGTGGCTTTGAATATTAAACTGATCCCAGTAATTGCAATTCGGCCAGTGTGGTATAGGAGAATGAAATGACTTTCCTTCATAAAACAGCTCCAACCGCGTTAATTATTATTCCTATACATTTAACCTCACATTTTTTACAGCGACTAGAGAATCAACTGAGTATGAATGTAATTATAAATGACGACGAAAGAAGTCGCGGCCTCGTTTAAGTAATTAAAGTGCAAACTTTGTGTTTGGAGGGGGCAGTGTTTGACCAAGTAACTGTCCCACAGATTTGTCCTGACGTCCTTGCGCATTCAAATTAGACAATTTATCTCAGGATGTGTGACGTACATGTACGTTAATTTGACTTTTCCTTAAACTTAGAAGAACCTTAAGTTTCTCTCTGTTATGTGTAAACAATTTTAAATTCATTTTATGTGGGTTTAAAAGCACAAAAATATTAGTATTCTTTTCTGTATGCCTAAGCGCCTTTTCTCTGTTGAATGTAAGGCAAACCCGGAGGTAGAACAGGTGGTTTAACTAGTGTGTTTATGTGCGTGCATGTGTGGGTAAAGAGAGAAGATGACAAGACTCTAGAAACTGTATAATATCTTACTTGTCAACACAGTAAAATTAAATTGAATTGTATACGTCTGACATAGATGACAGTTAGTACGAGTTAATGTAACTTAATAGAGAATAAACGGGCAATATTAGAATAAGTGTAATAATTTTCGTCTATCTTCATCATTTGTGGTGTAATTGAAGCTATTAAAATACGCGGCGAGCTTTCGCGGTCAACGTTTCTTCCGTATTAATAATATTTATCAAGAAAATGTCTCTGAACTGCTTTAAAGAAGGTTGTATAGTGTAAAAAAAATCATTATACACTTGTTCTTTGCGCTCTTTTGACCTTACGTAAAGTTTCGTGTCTTCTACATGCCTACCACAATCAAATTGTCAGTTTTAACTTTACTTTTACCTTTCATTCTTACACAGTTTCCCTGTTTGTTATGGAGATAGTACTGCATACAAAAATGACAGGGAATCGTGAGCTAACGACCTTTAAAATATTACATGTTATGATCCTTTCAGCACATCTCCCACAAAATCCCATGTATAGATATTTGCATTATAAAATAATATAATTTATTCTGGTGAGAATTAAAATGTGTGAAATAAAGTTCCTGTGATCTTTCATCATGCCGTTCCGGCATTGAATATTTCCGGTACGTGCATTTGTATTATTTTATTAATGAGCACAACTATTGCATTGCTGGCAAATCCTCACGTCCTTGGGTCTTGGCTCGTCGCCTAACTTGAGGCCATTAAAGCAGACCAGCCCTCTTCGGACTGGACATAGCATACTCTAATGATGCAATCGATAAGTCAACCATTCTGCATAATTGCAGCTAGTAATTTATAAGTATGCCTGACGTCATACGACAAAGAAATTGCATGTTCAGATAATATCTGGCCTGCAGGTTAATATCCAGGGAATGTTTTTGGAGGCTGCGTTGAACATCGCTCTCGAAGCCACAAACCCTGTAGTATATTGAGTATATTGATTAGGATGATCCAGTTGCATATATTTTTATTTTCCAATACGCATTGATCAGTTTTCAGATATTCGATTCGGTTTTGTAATTTGTGTGTCTGTATTTGCTGTCTTGTCATGTAATCAAATGCGATATGACATATAACAAGAAAGTGAACCAGTTTCATGTGATTTTGCAAGGTGTTTTCACAATATTGACACCAGTATATTCAATATTGTGTTTTATTACAACGAAACTTCGTGGGTTATTCGAATAAACTTTTGACGTAAATACGTCTATAAGGAAGGATCATTCGGCAAAAAAGTGGAACGAAAAAGGGGAACGAAAAAAGGAAACGAAAAAAGGAAACGAAAAAGTGTAACAATGGTTACCTAGGGAACGTCGTCTGTTTACTCTGCATTATTGTTACCTACGGAACGTCGTCTCTTTACTCTGCATTATTGTTACCTAGGAAACTTTACATTACCTTACCTTACCTTACATTACATTACATTACATTTCATTACATTACTTTACATTACATTCAGCTACCACAGACCCATCTTAAGCGTAACTAATTCAAGTTGAATAAGCAATATCTTAATCAAACTTATCTCAATTGTAAAGCATGTATAAAGGAAATAATTAGAATAAAGCCAATATATAAACTTCCTTTCCATATAGACGTATTTACGTCAAATTCTCCGGAACCGTGGTTCCACTGACAACTTTTTCTTTTGATGATATTCGCAGAGAGAAATCTGGCGTAGTAGATCAAAAGAATACGTGGCCAAGACCATCCCAGCAACGCGTTAAAAATTTAAAATACTATGGCTTTTGTCCAAAATGTTACCAGTCGTACTGTTGGTGCTTTCTTGTCATGATACGCGTTGCTCAATGCTTTCCGTAATGTATTACTCGATTTAGATGCGAAGTATGTTCGAAAATGAACACCTATCTGGTCGTGAACACGACATGTTCGCACCTGCATGGTTTTTGCGCGTCTGGCTTGAGCAGCGGCATAGTAACCAGGATGACATTGACACGATTGTGACAGGTGAGGTGGGGAGATTCTATATTATATGTTGGTGGACCTGCTTTTGATTTGTTTTTATACCGTGGTTCATGTTTGCCATTGGATTGCGTTATATATTATGCATCTTTTATAGGACATAAAAGTGACTCCCAGTTAAAAACTAATTGAAAAGTTGTTTAAGAAGAAAAAATCTCTCACTTTGTCTTTAAATGCAGTACATATTCGGTTTTCGTCTTGAAGGACTGAGGAAAGCCACCGACATTCTACTGAATACCGTCACTAACTCAGCCGAGATTTTAGTCGCGAATCTTCCATATACAATTACTTATGATCTAATATGTTAGCTAATAACTGTGTAACCATTACTCGTCATTTATGATGAAGTAATTTCGTACCGGTGCACAATTTTAACCGTAAAACCAGATTTTATTGTTGTAATCTAGTATCTCCGTATTAGATTATCAGCTCTGACATATGGTGGTTTCCTTAAAATTGTCTGTGAAAACGTTGGATGCTGACTTTGCTATGGGACACATAATTTAATATTTACGGTTATCCTCATACTCCTTTAAGATGTGTAGTTGATCTATTATCATAGATTAATGGCTGGGGAACTCTAAATTTTACGACATAGACGGCTGCGAACTGACCGAATGAAAGTTGACAATTTGCCTATATCCAGTGTGTTTGTGGTTTAGTGAATGTTATTCCCATGCTTGTAATACGTGTCGTTACATGAAACATGGTTTTGTGAAGCTTTCATCTTTTATTTACAGCGTTAAGACGGACATTCAACCTGGTGGAGCCATGAGCCGTCTGTACATTGCCAACGCCAATAAACAGGACTCTGGTAATTACACCTGCTCCCTGGCGGACGTGGCCTCAACCACAATTGCCGTACACGTCCTCAATGGTGAGCAATTGTTCCCTTAATAAATATTAGTTCTGTATTGTTATTGTTGGGACGCGGCGAGAGTATGTATTTTTGTGTATGTGAGCCCCTAACGAGTCCTTTGTGCATCCCCCATATGATACAAGGGTGAATAGGGAGGAACAGTGAAATTATATAAACAGGAGACTGCAGGAAATTGAGAAAAAAGTTTTGGTACAGGTTAGCCTCCATAATGTCCATACCAGGTTTTATCAAAATTTGTCCACAAGTAAGTTTGCAAAAGCTATGCAGCCGTCATTTCAAACATAAGTGGATCCGATTGTAACCATCATCCGAACAACCATTTCTTAAGTGTGCTAGTCGTTAGAGATGTGGTGTCGTTCAATTAAAGTATCACCTGGCCGTTAAACACATCCTAGGTCCAGCATCTCAACCCCTACCTTTGAGCTACACTGAGACCCACTTATAAAATCCATGAACCCTCACCTTGGTAGGTCACTATCGTCATCTGGCACCGCACGCTACTGAGTCTGTGATGAATGCAGAAGGCGTTGGAACTGTGGTGATGTGATCGAGTTTAAGGGTAATTCTTAGTTTTTGTAAAATCAGTTTTTAAATGCGTAAAATTTCTCATAAGTAATTTATCTTCGCATTCGAAGTGTTCCAGTTTGTTGTTAGAGGTGCTTACATGTGGTATTGTAGGTAAATACAGACATTTTGAAGAACATGCTGTCACCATCGTCATGGCTGAAGTGTCTGAGATTTAGCCTACATATGAGCGTAAAATTTGTTATTATCTAAGGAGGCGAAATAAAATATTGCAGTAGTAGATATGAACTAACAGGATTAAGAGGGTACATTTTTATTTCTGTTGCTTGTACAGTTGAAAATTGCTTTCTTGTTACATTTCCACCCTCTTTTTAGTGAAGAAGGTGTCTTCAACAGCTTCATAACATTATAACACGTTTATTTTTTTTTATTTTTAACAACTGTATTTTCCTTTTAACCCCTAGGAGACGACACCGTTATTTGTCTTTTTCGTATCCCATTCAAGTTACTTTCATTACTGGTTTTGTCACGAGGTTGGATTTTATGTAGTTAAATCGAGGATTGAACTCTACCTACATGAAAAGCTCTTTCCTATATGATGCCTCTTCTAATTAACTGAGAATTCACCCAGAGGCAACACAAACTGTAAATTAAGTTCTTGCCTTGCCTTATAAAACTGAGGGTAAAAGTACAACAGTGTTGATATTAAATCAATCTATTCTCAGCTTAGAAGGAAATTGTAGAGTAACCCCGTAATTTTTACGCTAGAACCAACGTCATTACGATGATCAAATCCAGGAGGTTGAGATGGGCGTCATATGTAGTGCGCATCGAATAGGTAATTCCGTACAGCACTTTAGTTGAAAACCCTGTAATTCGTAACACGTGTTAAAGTGGATTTTTCCTGCTCTTATCAACACAATAGTGAATGTTCTGTTTTCAAAGTAATTGGGGAATTTCTATAGCAGCTTAGCAACTATTAGCTTCTGATAATATGGTACACATACCGCCTCCAGTTACTTATCTTGGGCTACCTTATCTGTTTGCACTGCTATCACCGAACTTCATAGCGGATTTATCAAATTCTGCTTCATATTCGGGAGACCTGGTATCGTGTGTGACATTTTTCGTGTTGTTCCTCATTCCCTCCATCTAAATGCCGTGACAGCAAATTGAATTAAGCCATGACCGCTTTCTTCCAAACCCTTTCCCATTCATTTCTCACTGATCATTCGGCTTTGTATGATTCGAGTTACTGACAGCGTCATTAAATAAAAAGCAGATGAATTAAATTTTAAACTTGAATACTGTTTGTATGTTCTACGTATTTGAAATGTCTGTTATAATCATGAATGTTTCTTTTAACTCTTATATTTTCCATTTTATTCAGTTTCTTGCTTAATAATGGCATGAAATCGTTGATTCAGGATATTGTTGTAGTACCCAGGTCTCGGTTCCAGTTGTTGAAGGACTTAAATCCATCCTTCGTAAGTCGTGAGTAGGTTTATTTACTGAAAGGAGTGTCTAAGATAAGAAGCAGATTTTTCTTATGAAATAATTAATTTACAAATTGCGATGTACTTTGTTCAGAATCCAAATAAATTTAAATGTAATTCCAAATAAAACACCAGTTACCTCGGTCACAGATTTATAATTCGATCCATCTCTAAACATGCTCGTGTTTTGACCATTTAAATTTGTACCGGTTTTAATATTATTACTGGAAACCATAACTAGTTGCAAATCATGCATTTATTCGTATTTTAAATCGTTATCTGTCTGGTCAATTGTGCGAATTAATTTTTGTATTGAGGGAGAATGTAAAAGTTTTAAATTTCGTAAACCTTATTTTCTATGACTTACTTAAACTCTATATTTTATGCAGTTCTGTTTTAATCAGTTCTGTTTTAATTCCCTGGTCACTCTTTCTCTTCCTAGCTTCACGTCTTTTTTTAAATTTATAAACATTGCACTTACCCTCTAGATCAATTTATTTTGCTTGCGAAACTTTTGCTAAAATATTCGTTGCAACTTGTAAAGACCGTGAGCCGTTATAAAGACAACAACGTGCATAAGGAGGGTTAATAATGGACTGAACGTGTGCTTCTTTTATAATGGACATCCTTAGCTGCAATACCAGAGGCCCAACGATACGAGTATTTATGTTCATAGTTCAGACCTTAAATTTTATATTACAGTGTACAGATTTGATATTGCCCCAGTGTTTTCGTGTGTTTGCAGGAGGATTAATCAAACTGGCTCACATTTATTACTGTAAATTAAATGGCACCCATAAAAATAGGAAGAATATACAGGAATAAATACATTACGTCAAGATCTTGTAAATATATGACAGGCAAACCTAAACTCGAATAATTAATTTTGTGTTTTTTCTGAGATACGAAATAAAATGTATATATCTTCCTTATTTTTTCTTATTTTAAACTATGTAAAAAAGTTATGATCAGTAGCTTTGACTCTATTTTAATAACCGCAAAGATGGCATAGGGAAGCCGAAATATTAAATTTATTTATGATAATAATAATAATATTTTTCTCCTCATCTATACTTTTTGTAATAGTATCAGACGATGGCATATTAATTTAGTGTTAAGCTAGTTTCCCATTTAAGAAGAATTATTTTTTGTAAGTTTCAAATATCAAATATTTTCCATCATCAAAAATATTAAATGCGTAACTGATACGCGTTTAAGCACCACTATATTCAATAAACATGTATTTGGTTTTGCTGTCATACTTACTTTCGGTAATTTTCAAGCACGGCCGCATTAACCCGACATAAAACAAACCCATTGAAATTCGATTAAATATTGTTGCTGTAACCAACATTTTACGGAAATCCGAAATATGTTACTCGTGGTGGTTAAGTGGAGAGAAGACACTTTATTTTTCTGTGGTTTCTAAACCGCAGAAACGTAATTATGGGGCTTGATAGATTGTGGTACAAAACACATCGAACAGTGGACCGCAATTTTGTTGGAAGTGCCTTCAGTCAATAAGCGAAGCTGTGCACTGTAGGAAGAAATCCTCTCTTAATACTGTACCTCAGGCTATTAAATTTATTGGATTGTCCAACGATTTAAAATGATTAGCTCAGATATCGAAGCATTGAAATATTTCCTGAAGGATTAATTTTCCACTGAGTAGGATTGTTCCATCTGTCAACTATAGATTATGATCAGCTGCATTGTACTGCTTTCTTTCTCAGAAGATTTTCCTAAGTTGTCTCCATTCTTACCCATAATGCTACAGAATAGCGCGTATCGTTTTCATATACGTGAATACAGTAAACATTGCGCTTTTGCGTATGTTTTTAACTTTACTTATCGTACGTTAAAACATTTCCGTACGAGAAAAGTGAGAAATATAGATTTATAAACTTGTAATTGAATACAAACAAGCATGATCACTTTAGGAATCACGGTGTATGGCCTATAAAATTGTGGTATGATAAATACTTTTCCGAAATTTTCCGATGTCACAGTGTGGACTGAATTTAACTTAGTCAGGGTAAACTCTAGTAGCAGATTGCTGTTTACATGGTAAATAACTTTGGTCTTCATGCGTGATAATTTTTTTTTACAGACTGAACACACATGTATCAGCTTCTCCATAATCCTACATGTCTTAGGTGGACATATTCTTCGAAGCATCCTATTTCCGAACATCCTTAATACGTGTTTTTCCCTTAACAAGTGTGTTACCCATACAGGACAACAGATAAAAATAATAGTATTTTATATCACTGAATTTAATTAACTCAAATTAATGAGTCCAACTTCTGCTTGAAGTTTTTTACACTCTGTTCTAGTCATCGACATTGATTTGCAGTCAAATTGACAAAAGCGGCTGCAAACTGTACCCTTTTGTATTAAAATAACGCTCTTGCAAGAACGTTTCGTGTCTACTGAAAATTCCGGTCTAAACGTAAAAGAAAGGTTTTGAATAATTCGGATTTTATGAGCAGCGATTTAAGTCTGTTTGGTTAACTGAAGCAGTCGATGGACAGCCATAAATTCCGAGACAGTGAAAAAATTCAACGTCTTGTGCGTCATTATTTCTGAAACATAAAAAAAATAATTGCACTTGAGTGCACTGAGCGTCTACAGATGCTGATAAGCTGTAAGAATTTTGAAAGCAACTGCATACTGAAATATTTATCGAAACTTGTAACACGTGCAGGTAAATTAAGCAGTGTAATTTGTCATACGTCCTCGCATTCTGTCGTGGCCCACAGTTAAACACTTGGTCTCCCCTAATCACTATGACCACTTTGATGTTCAGATTATTGGGCACAGACCACACAGTTTCCAACTGTCCATCTATTTCTATTTGTGTGCATGGTGCTGACAGGATTAGCATGTAGATCCCGATGAAATAAAACAATATGAGCATTTAATCAAAGCATTTAATCACCGTACACGGCTGTGGGTAATGTTTGTGTATGCACA